ATATATATATATATATATATATATATATATATATATATATATATCTTTTCAGTGAATCACACATACGATGACTTTCCATACTCCATGCGATTCAACAGGTCCCTAGACCCTGACTCACCCACACATAAATGTCCACATTTTGTCGGTAACTTTTTACACCAAGTCACCGACAATAAACAAAATAAAAGCGATAAAAAATACTTCCGCTCGCCGTAGATATTCGCAATAGGGGTGAGTGTGTCTGCGATTCTGTCTTCTTAAATCTAGAGGAAAACTGACGCGATAACCTTCTGCAAGAGGTCCGAATGTCCTGCGCGTTCGGTGAGCAAGAAAAGCATTTTTTGTATATAATAGTATATTATTTGGTCATAAGAATCATATCAATAGGGTATACTATATTACAGATTTGGCGGTGGCTCTGAGTGAGAGAGAGAGTGATTAAGACCTAAAGAGAGAGAAGAGTGAGAGAAAAAAAAAAAAAGAAGAAAGAAAAAGAGAGAGAGAGGAGATAATGTCAGGGAGAGAGAGAACGAGCAAGAGGGAGATGTTGGCGAGTCCAGCCAGGCAGCGACAGGGCGCGGGGAAGACAAGCTTTTTTACGCCTCCAGCGCCTTAACGTGCGTTTTTATGGGAGACTTTTATTACTGTTGCAAGTCAGAGTACCGTGATAGGGCAGATTTGCCCTCTTGCAATAATTCTTGCAATATGCCCTCTCGTTTGGAAACAAAACTTTAGCTGAACTAATGAACAGTATGCATTAATTCATGCTATGCATTAGGTCAGCATATAGATAAAGATACGTATTGCGTACCTATATCTATCCGTCCATACACGTATAAGTGCAATGAATACATGAATACACATTCATATACACAGACACTCAGTCACACACACTCAAACACATGAACATGAACAAACAAACATACACACACTAATGGCAATTATGATACTTCAAAAAGTAGCAATAATAAATGTTATGACAGTGTAGGTGATGACAAGGATAATGATGATAATGATAATCGCTTTAAGGACACCAATAAGAATACTGATAAAGATGAAACAGCAATATCAACACTATTAATGATATCAATGATAATCAGAAGAAGGAGAACAAAGATATATTATCATATTGATAACGAACAACGACAATAATTAATGATAACAGTAATAATGGTTATGATAATAATTGGAAAAAAAATCATATTCATAATAAGACTCTCAATTACTACCAGTAATAACAATAATAACAATAACATAATAACAAAAATAACATCAACAACAAAGCAACAGTATCAATAACAACACCACC